GGTGGCCGGGGTTATCGTCGCGAGCGGGGTGAGTTTGAGACAAAAATTCTGGCCTGTTTGGAGATGACAGTGCGTGGTGAATTTTCTGACCGTTGACTTGTTTGTTGATTTGGAAGTGTGCGGTAGGCCATGTTGAGATCGTAGGCGATCTAGCTTGCTAGTAGATGATTTATGATGACCCTCTAGTTAACAGGGTGCGAGCGAATTGGATGTGGATTGTGCACCAAATTTACCGTGTTAGTATCTTGCGCTGGTGCGGGTGGCGACTGGAGTTATCATTGCGAGTGGGGTAAGGTCATAAAATAATGGTTTTTGTTGGGGGGAAATTGAAAATTTTGGTAGGTCGATGCTGAACTTTGGCTGAATTGTCCAGTATATGACGACTATATTCTGATTGGTTAGTTTATTCTTATAGTAATTAAAAAAGTATTCGATTGTTCAGATTTGGCAGTGTATGGTAGGTTATGTTGACATCATAGGTAATTTAGCTGTTTTAGCCCGGTTAGATAATTTGTGATGACCTCTAGTAAGTTATGCAAACAGATTGGATACGGCTTGCGTATGACATTTACCATGTTCGTGTCTGCTTACTAACCTCGGAGATGGATATGCTCCGGCGAGAAAAAAAAATCCATATTTGCTAAAAGCAAATAGAAATATGAATCGGATGAGAGAGAAATAGATTCAAATGCATATTAGATATGAGAGAAACTAAGAAAACTCAAAAATATATGTGACATTGATGCGATAATTGTCTAAATAAAATGTCTCGGACCATAGTTCTTTACGGCAGTGTTTGTGTACAGTGTACTTGATGATGGTGAACAGGGAGGCTTGTTGACTTACCTTGAGCTAGTGCTGGTGATGATGTTTGGTAATTAGGAAAGGTAAATAAACCTATAAAAGCTACATTTTGCTAAAAAAAGGAAATTACCGCCAATAAAGAGTAAATGTCACCTCTCAAAATCAGCTTTACAATTCAACCTATAGTAAATCATATCCAAATATGAAAATATTGGGTGATTATATAAAAGTAGGATAAAATTTATGTCTGATATGAGAAAAATCCCAAATTGTAACTTGAGTTATAATCAGAACTACGAAGATTTGGGGTGTAATACACAATTAAGAAAGAATTTAGGTCTAAATATGAGCAGAACCCTATCAAGTGAAAGCATATGCTTGTTCTGATATGGAACTTCATGGTAGGACGTGTTGAGATCATAGGTGAGTTAGCTGATTCGATAACATATGAGATCTCTCGTTTTTTTTTTTTTGGGTTTAAGGGAATCCCTCTACATAGTAAGAAGAGTGTTCCTTTGATAGTAAGGAAGACAACAAGTTACACGTGATGACAGAGAAAATAGAAATAAACCAAGCTTATTTTTGCAATTCCATTTCTGGGCAGCTGAAGTTTCACGGGTGGCATATCGGGTTTGGTATGGTGTAGGCCAATTATTTGGTCAAACATTTTGGTTTATGAGAAAAGGAAGGAATTTAATTTGATGTCCCACAGTTGATCTTATGGTGGGTTGTTTCTGCCAATTATGCTACAATTAAAGGTGGTTCACTTGTTTCAGAGAATGCATAATAATTGTGTAAATCACCCTCAAATTATTCGATCTTTCCTATTACTTTACAGTAATGGCAACTAAAATACATCCCTCTATTAGTAACTTGGTGAAATAACTATTGCTAAGTTATGAGGGGAAAATGTATTTCTTTCAGTTTCAAGGCAGTTTGAAATTTATACCATCAATATTGGAAAGGTTCTCGATGATTTACAACATGATCCATGTTAACTCTATTGAGTTGAAGGTGAATTTAGGTTCTTTTCTTCTATACAATTTGAGGTGGCTTGCAATTACCACAACATTCTATTTTCTAGATACTTCATTTAAGTGTGTGATTACTGAAATCCGTCCTTTTACTCAATCATTCATCCAATGCAAGTCCTGTTTTTTCCCCTTATCGTCTCTTCCAACATCCTTTTCTCATTTTATAATGGCCATATTGGAAAGATTCCAGATGACTTGCAACGTGATCTATGCTAATTTTATTGAAATTGAAGGTGGATTTAGGTTCTTCATACAATATGATGTGGGGTGATATTTCTACAACATTCTGTTTTCTAACCCCTTGAGTTGAATATACGATTACCGAAACGAATTCCTTTTATTAATGTTTTTTTTGTATTAGATGAATGAATTTAGTTTCTTGCTAGGAGGCTTGACTTACTGGTAAAGCATGGAACCTATGTTCACCAGTCTATGAATTTTGTCAAGAAAGCAAGTATTTCAGCATATATACTCTTAATTCTTATATTTTCTTGAACTTACAAAACTTTCCTTTTTCTTTTTCACGTTTTCATGTATGATGTTGAGTCTTCATAATATTTTGTCAAATTGCCCTTCCTTAGCCTGGGTTAGTTGAACCCAAATTAATGATTTTTTTCTAAATTAAATGCTAACTAGCCCATTGGTAACTAGTATTTATATACCAACTTTCCAAGTTTACCCTTCAATAATCGGACTATATGAAACTATGTGAAGATTCTGTCCTTGTTCAATTCCCATTCCTGGTTATAATTCTCATGGGATCATGCTATTTTCCCAATCCATTCTTTTAATTCAATGTTTCCTCCAACGCGCCTGTTCCTTTCCTCATTTGTCCCTTCTTCCCATTCTTATTCGCTGATTCATTGAGCCCCAGAAACTGTAGCGCCCTTCCATCTTCATCCATCTTATATCTATTTCCTTACTTAATACCACCATTGATGCCAAGACTTCTCTCCTTCTAATGCCACATCCATCCATTAATAAGTACCCAGATTTGAAACATGAGTCCATGGGTGATTTTGAATTTATTCCATTGATTTTGGGTAAGAAAATTATCAGGTGAATATTGGAACTTGTGCTTTATAAAAAAGCATGCTAATATCATGGGTGAGCATGTTACTGTCAAAGGTCACAATGATCTCAGACATAAAATGAAATCAATGATCAGACGCTCCCTTACTTCTCTGGTTAGATTCTTTAGTTGTACCCTTTTCTGACTGATTAAGATTAGAAGGGTCTTCAAGGTATTTACAACTTCAAATAACTGCGAATCTGCAAGGTTAGGTGCTATGTGGTACATACTGAGTATGTTGAGGGAACTTGCAAAATCTAGCCAATAGTTTCTTGGGAGTTTGCATCCCAGTATGGGACGATACTCTTTTTTGATATATAAAAAATTGATCTACATAAGGGGCGTCTATATTTCACCATTCAAGAAATGCCCAATCCAAAACAAATAGAGACCAATAATAACCAAGTGTTAGAGATCAAATTTACTTATCGTGTATTGAATTGGTACTTGATTTGTTTATTTTCTAGTGAGCCGGATTTTGTTATTTTCTAGCGATGACCATACGTTGATCAGTCATAGAGGTGGAAGACGGTTAATTGTGGACTACTGACTATTTCATCTTTAAATTTTTGTAGGGAGAGCCAAGTTTCCACTTGTTTGGTTTTATTATGTGCATTGGTGCAACTGCTGCCAGGGCACTGAAATCAGTTTTACAAGGGATTTTGCTTTCATCTGAGGGGTAATGAATTTTTAGCATGTTTGTATATTTTCTTTGATTTACTGTAAGTAGATATTTGATGTTTAAACCTGTTTTACATTTGGATTACTTTTTGAAGATGTCATATTCTCTCGAGTATTCTTTTATCAAGATAAAATTCATGCTTTAGCTGTAAAGTTGTAATATGTTTTATCTATAAACTATGCATATACTTACTTTTGTGGTTTTTCTAATTTTTAGGGAAAAGCTTAACTCTATGAACCTTCTGCTATACATGGCACCAATTGCAGTAGTTCTCCTACTGCCTGCAACAATCATAATGGAAGACAATGTGGTTGGCATCACGATAGCTCTTGCTAGAGAAGATATCAAAATTGTTTGGTATTTGCTATTTAATTCTGCTCTGGCATATTTTGTGAATCTCACCAATTTCTTGGTCACCAAACATACCAGTGCTTTGACTCTACAGGTATGGTTCATTTATAGGAGTTTACATCATTATTCTGATAACCTTGTGTGAGTTTTATCGACCCTTTTAAGAGTTGTAGAGGCTTCTATATTTTGCACTATCTTTATTCTTCATCAGTCTTTCCTTCTTTCCATCCTAGACAAGTAACCATTTCTTTCCACTAAATCTCTGTTAAGTGTTCTTCCATGTATTGTCCACACTGTCTGTTTTCCTCGATGTAATTCAGTTTCAGTTTCTTAATGTATCAGACAGACACATCAAGAAACTCTATGATACATACACTTGATGAGGCAATGACATACAAGTCACACTTTCAAGATACTATAACCTTTCCACCTTACTGTCAACTCTTTGAGGAATTATCTCAAGTAACATCCATGTAGGTCCAAATCAATTTTATAAAACCATGGTATGGTTTGTTACGAACTTTATATATACTATTAGAGTAGTTAATATCTTAGTATATTAGGAAAGTTACAGAGTACTGTTTTGTCGCACATTTGACGATTTTGTAATTGTATTTTACTTGCTCTACTATAAATTAAACCTTATTATTGCTTTCTGCGAAGAAATCACTTTACCAGCATGACATGTATTGAAGCATAAATCCTAACCCTAGTAAACTTCTTTCCTTAAGCGTAAAACTTTAGGCCATTGCGAGGGGCCACTGGTTCATGTGCCGTCTCCGTGCTTCTGCCCTGTAGCTTTGTCACCTTCCCTCCCCACTGGCCCTTATCTCAACTCCCCCCTCCCCTCCCCCCGCTCTCTCAACCTTCTCTCTCAATTCAGACTCCTGCAAGTTGCTCACCTGGGGCAACCCTAAGATTCAATCTTTTGAGCTGGGTTTCCCACAAAATTATCCTTTGTCAGTTGGTTTGTATATGGGTATATTTGTCGCCTGCTTTTGGAGCTTTCCCTCTTTTCTAATGGTTGGATTTATTGCTTCCAAGTAGCCACAGAGCTTGGTTCATAAGTAGTCCTTTCTGTTGGGAAAGATTGAGAAATCCCAGGATAATTTTCCCAACTAAATGAGACAAAAATAACACCAAGGATTTTTAGCGTGGAAAACCCTCCAAAAAGAGGTAAAAACCACGGGACCCGTAGGCCACTTAAAACTTCCACTATAACAATAATGGGATTACACACTTCACCCTTAGGTGGATCTCTCTTTTAAACTCTCTAACAACACAACTTCAATTTGTGGATAAAACTTCACAAATTGGCTCTTAATTTTTCTCTCTCAGAAAAAACTCTCTATGTTTCTGAGGTTATTTCTTCTTTGTTTTCGATGATGATACTGAGCGAGAGATCATCAATTTATAGAGAAATGAACTACGCATTTTTCCATGCGTGGGTCCCACGGGAGAGAGTTTTTCTTTGGTCGGCTTGCTTTCCGTTGTTGCGCAGCGAAAATAGCCTCCCCTATTGCTGGCCTATGTTTTGACAAAGAGAGGTGGGCGGGCCGCAGGATTTGACAATGCCCAGCCTCTTTACTTGATTGTTGGCCGCCCATGTGAGGTGGACCAACAAATCTCCCCCTTCACCTCATGTGGGACAGGGGTCTTCTACACCAGCAATCTCTCTGCAGATAGCAAGCTTTTCTCTAGGCAGAGTCTTCGTCATCATATCTGCCCCGTTGTCGTTGGTGTGAATCTTCTCAACTTGCAGTAGTTTATTTTCCAACACATCACGAATCCAATGATACCTCACGTCGATGTGTTTGGACCTTGAGTGGAAGGTCGAGTTCTTGCTGAGATGAATTGCGCTCTGACTGTCGCAATAGAGAATATACGGTCAGCTTACCATGGACATGGTAAAAGACAGAATGCTGAACGAAGAGTCTCGACGAAAAGAAGATGGATATGCTCCTGAAAATGAAGCGCTTGTTACAGAAAGACAAGGCAAGCAAGAATGGAGAGGAAGAAGCAAAAATCCCCGTAACCAAAATCAACAAAGAGGACGGTCGAAGTCCAGATCGAGGCATGACAAGAAGTGTCATCATTGCGGCAAGCCAGGACACTTCATTCGAGAATGTCGAAAATTAAAGGCGGAAAAATCCAGAAATCAAGAGTCAGAAACCCGAACAAATGACACTGCAACTGTCACCGAAGAAGTTGTCATTGTTCGAGATGCTGATTATGTCAATCTTGCATGTCAAGACTCCACATGGGTAGTGGACTCAGGTGCTTCCTACCATGTCACCTCACGACGGGATTTCTTCTCAACCTACACTCAAGGTGATTTCGGACAAGTGAGGATGGGAAATGATAATGCATCCAAAATTATCGGCATCAGTAAGGTTTATTTAGAAACTAACCTTGGATGCAGGTTACTTTTGAAAGACGTAAGGCATGTTCCTGATATCCGCCTCAATTTGATCTCCACCGGAATGCTTGATGACGATGGCTACAGTAATTATTTCGGTGAAGGAAAATGGAAGCTTACCAAAGGCAACTTGGTAGTAGCCAAAGGCAAGAAAGATACAACACTTTACCAAACAGAAGCCAGGCTGTGTAGAGGAGAAGTAAATATCACCCGGAAAGAAGTTCCCACTGAGTTATGGCATAAACGGCTCGGCCACATGAGTGAAAAGGGTCTCAGAATTCTTTCCAAGAAGGAGCTCTTGCCAGGAATGAAAGGTACACCCTTGCGTACTTGTGTTGATTGTATTATGGGAAAACAACACAGAGTTGCATTTCGTAGTTCCCCACCATCTAGAAAAGCAAATATTCTAGATTTAATACACACAGATGTCTGCACAATGAGTCATAAGTCACTAGGAGGTGCTTCTTATTTTGTGACCTTTATTGATGACCACTCTAGAAAAGTGTGGGCCTTTGCTTTGAAAACTAAAGATCAAGTGCAGGAAATCTTTAAGGAATTTCATGTAAAAGTTGAAAGAGAAACTGGCAGACGTTTGAAGTGTGTACGTGCAGACAATGGTGGCGAGTATTGCGGACCATTCGAGAAGTACTGCAGAAGTTTCGGCATCAGGTTGGAAAAATCGGTACCAAAGATACCTCAACACAACGGTGTAGCAGAAAGGATGAACAGGACCATTTGCGAAAGAATCAGGTGTATGCTCTCAAATGCAAAATTACCAAACTTCTTTTGGGGGGAGGCAATGAGGACAGCAGTCGATTTAATCAACCTTTCTCCATCAGTTCCATTGAACTACGACGTACCAGAAAAAGTCTGGACGGGGAAAGATGTTTCTTACAAACACTTGAAAGTATTTGGCTGCAGGGCATTTGTTCACATCCCAAAAGACGAGAGGTCCAAGCTGGATGGAAAAGCTAAGCAATGTATCTTTTTGGGATATTCCCATGAAGAGTTCGGCTACAGATTCTGGGATCCTAATAACAAAAGGATTGTCAGAAGCAGAGACGTGGTTTTTCTTGAAGATCAGACGCTCGAAGATTTTGAGAAACCAGAGAAGCCACAATCAGATGAACTTCCAGTGAATCTGGAACCAGTCTCTCCACCAACAAATTCTGATGAAGGGGGAGCTACACCAGATACTGATGATGTTCCACTAGCTCGCAGTCCAGAACCAGAGCAAGCTCCTAAACAAGTCCAACCAGAAGCACAGCTAAGGAGATCCACTAGAGAGCGACAACAAAGTCATAGATATTCTCCTAACGAGTATGTGATGCTCACTGACGGGGGAGAACCGGAGAGCTATGGCGAAGCTATCACTGACTAGCACAAGACTGAGTGGTTAAAAGCCATGCAGGATGAAATAAAATCTCTACATGAGAACCACACATTTGACTTGGTGAAATTACCACAGGGAAGGAAAGCTCTCAAGAACAAGTGGGTGTACAGGATCAAAAGTGAAGAAGGCAGCTCACAACCACGTTACAAAGCAAGACTAGTTGTGAAAGGATTCGAGCAGAAGAAGGGCGTTGACTTTGATGAAATATTCTCACCGGTTGTCAAAATGTCTTCAATCCGAGTTGTTCTTGGCTTGGCAGCTAGTCTCAATCTAGAAGTTGAACAACTTGACGTAAAAACCGCATTCTTACATGGTGATCTTGACGAGGAAATTTACATGGAGCAGCCCGAAGGTTACCAAGTCAAAGGGAAGGAGAAGATGGTATGCAAACTGAAGAAGAGTTTGTACGGTCTAAAAGAGGCACCCAGGCAGTGGTACAAAAAGTTCGACTCATTTATGGAGAAAAATGAGTACAACCGAACGACGGCTGATCACTGCGTCTTCATTAAGAAATTCTCTGATGGTGATTTTATCATTCTTTTGCTTTATGTTGATGACATGTTAATTGTAGGTCAAGACTTTGGCAAAATTAACAAGTTGAAGAAAGAGTTGAGCAAGTCATTTGCAATGAAGGACTTAGGACCTGCAAAGCAAATTCTTGGCATGACGATTACTCGCAACAGGCAGAATCGAAGAATCTGGCTATCTCAAGAACGATATGTTGGAAAAGTTCTTGAAAAGTTCAACATGAGCAAAGCTAAACCTGTCAGTTCTCCACTGGCAAGCCACTTCAAGCTCAATGCGAGTCAGTGTCCTTCAAGCAAGGAGGAGAAGTCAGAGATGAGCAAAGTGCCTTATGCATCGACGGTTGGCAGTCTTATGTACGCTATGGTATGCACCAGACCAGACATTGCTCATGCTGTGGGCGTTGTGAGCCGATTCCTATCAAATCCTGGAAAAGAACATTGGACAGCTGTCAAATGGATACTCAGGTATCTCAAAGGTACTTCCAGTCATTGTTTATGTTTTGGTAATAATGAACCTGTATTAGAAGGATATACAGATTCAGATAAGGCTGGCGACATGGATACGAGAAAGTCTATATCCGGGTACCTAATAACATTTGCAGGGGGAGCTGTCTCATGGCAATCACGATTACAAAAGTGTATTGCCTTAAGCACCACAGAAGCAGAGTACATCGCAATCACTGAAGGTTGCAAGGAGATCCTGTGGATGAAGAAGTTTCTACAAGAGTTGGGTCAGAACCAAGAAAATTATATTCTCTATTGCGACAGTCAGAGCGCAATTCATCTCAGCAAGAACTCGACCTTCCACTCAAGGTCCAAACACATCGACGTGAGGTATCGTTGGATACGTGATGTGTTGGAAAATAAACTACTGCAAGTTGAGAAGATTCACACCAACGACAACGGGGCAGATATGATGACGAAGACTCTGCCTAGAGAAAAGCTTGCTATCTGCAGAGAGATTGCTGGTGTAGAAGACCCCTGTCCCACATGAGGTGAAGGGGGAGATTTGTTGGTCCACCTCACATGGGCGGCCAACAATCAAGTAAAGAGGCTGGACATTGTCAAATCCTGCGGCCCGCCCACCTCTCTTTGTCAAAACATAGGCCAGCAATAGGGGAGGCTATTTTCGCTGCGCAACAACGGAAAGCAAGCCGACCAAAGAAAAACTCTCCCCCGTGGGACCTACGCATGGAAAAATGCGTAGTTCATTTCTCTATAAATTGATGATCTCTCGCTCAGTATCATCATCGAAAACAAAGAAGAAATAACCTCAGAAACATAGAGAGTTTTTTCTGAGAGAGAAAAATTAAGAGCCAATTTGTGAAGTTTTATCCACAAATTGAAGTTGTGTTGTTAGAGAGTTTAAAAGAGAGATCCACCTAAGGGTGAAGTGTGTAATCCCATTATTGTTATAGTGGAAGTTTTAAGTGGCCTACGGGTCCCGTGGTTTTTACCTCTTTTTGGAGGGTTTTCCACGCTAAAAATCCTTGGTGTTATTTTTGTCTCATTTAGTTGGGAAAATTATCCTGGGATTTCTCAATCTTTCCCAACACTTTCCATAGATTATTCTGGCCTCTTTGGTTCTGAATCAGCATCGATGCAGATGGACATCTCTACCACTAATCCACTTCACCGGAACCCCCAAAAAAGAAAAAAAGAAAATCAAATAAAAGGACTGAGAGAAATCCTACATATAATATGATGAAGTTTCTTTATTGTCGGTTTACTTCTATTTTTTTTTCCTATCGTATATCTCAGTATCTCAGTCTATTTGTCTCTATGTCTGAGACTGTATTGCATGTTTCCTATCTGAGAACCAAAACTAATTATGATCTTTTGGGTGCTCAGATAGTAACTGTGACCAACTTTTATCTTTATTTTTATTTTATTTTCTGCCCAAGCTTTGATTATATATACTGTTGCTAGTAAATTGGTAAGAATTGGGAACTAACGACTTGGTACAGTCTAGAAGGATTATTACTTCGAGTATTACATAGGAAAACTTGGAGCCTTCACTAATATTTACATGTGTAGTCATCATGCATGTCTGTGTGTGCTTACAGTCAACTACACAAAAGGGAGACTATGAGTTCCTTAATTTCGAATCAGTAGTCTTAACACATACGTACTTATGTACATTAGCTGCATTGAATGTATATAAAAGGGGAGTGGAAAGTGGGATGATTCTCAAAACTTATCTGACTTGAAGTTCCAATTCCATTTGAGTAACACCTTAAAACTCTATTCTGGTTCCAGTTCTAATTGACTGAAAACTTCCAATTCCATTTGAGTAACACCTTAAAACTCTATTCTGGTTCCAGTTCTAATTGACTGAAAACTTTACATGAGTTATTCCCATTCTAGTTTTCATTAACTCTATTCTGGTTCCAGTTCTAATTGACTGAAAACTTTACATGAGTTATTCCCATTCTAGTTTTCATTAACGATTAACTTACCCTACAAAAGTAGTTACAGAACTGCCTAGTTGGTTGCACCCTATACTTTTGAATCTCTAATTTACCATAAAATACAAGTAAACATGGTGAATCATATAGAAAGATTCTTCCTGATGTACATATTTTCTCATCCTATCCGTGCAAAACAATTACTGGCTTAGAGGGGTCTTCCATTTCATTGATTCATGTAGTCATATTTTCGAGGCTTAATTGCAGATTGACCCCCTGCCGTATCGCCAAATTGCAGATAGACCCCATGTAGATAGACATCCTGAATGTTTTTTTTTTATCGTTTACCCTCAAGATATATATATATATATATTTTTGACTACTAGACGCCCTAAGGGTAAAAGAGTCAAAAGAATTTCATTCAGGTGTGAAACAATATAACTCCAGGGGGTCTATCCGCAGCTGAGCAATAATATAGGGGATCTATTCACAATTAACCTATTTTTAATATAAATGCCATATATTCATGTCATAATACGTAGTATATTTATCTTGCTCAGCCCTTCTTTTTCCCCCTCAGGTTCTTGGGAATGCGAAAGGTGCAGTAGCTGTGGTCATCTCAATTTTGATATTTAAGAACCCGGTATCAGTAACAGGGATGCTTGGCTATGCCATTACAGTTTTTGGAGTAATTCTTTACAGTGAAGCGAAAAAACGAAGCAAGTGAACTAAACTGGTTAAGGAACCGCAGAAGCAGCTCTTTCTTCTGTTTCTCTGTACAGGGTGGCAAAAGGCTTCACAATATTTCATTTGCATGATCTCTGCATGGTTGCAGTATGTTGCACCCTATTCTTTTGCTGGGAATCTTAACTGGTTCCTGCTACTTGTATCAACACCAACTAGCTAGCGAATAGGGGGTAAATATCTCAATATGAAGTAATGCAGTATATACAAAAATTTTTTTTGTTTTATTTTTTTCCTTTTATTTTTTGTTGAAGGTTTCTGTGAGGCATTCTTATTCTTGCCTCCAGCTTAATGGAGTATGGAAAAGACAGCAAATTCTTTGTGATAGGGATGAAGTTCCACTCAGTACATATTGTTTTAATCTATATGTTAATTTTACAAAAGATATTCTTATAAGTTGTACTTAATTCAGGAAAATTGTTTTTAAGGCGATAATTCTATTGACGTGTAAGGAAAGAAGGACAAATTTTTAAAAGAGCCTTTTTTTCACTTTTATATAGCAAAACCGACCAACCCTCAAAATAATCTGCAAAACCAACCCTAAAGGGTCGGTTTTGCAGTCGTGGGCAAATCAAATGCACGGGACTGCTAGTCCCGTGCATTTCATGCTTTTACACGCCATCTCCTAATTCGCCACCCTCCCTCTTCCCTCATGGACCCGACATCCACTACCCATCAATAAACATAAATCTTATGGAAGTATTTAGCTAGCTAGAGCAAATACTAGCAAAGAAAATAACAAAAACTGCTAGGATTAGAGACATAGGCCGAAGAGCGTGACCTCATTAATCTTGATCGCGAGCTTATCAAGTACATCGATGCGGTTCTTTGATTTCTCCAAGGCTTGCATCAACTTCTTCTTTTCTACTAGCAACTCCCTAGCCTCAGTTTCCTTACCAACCAAGACGCTGTTAGCCGCCCTCTTCTGTAGACTCTCAGCTGCCTCGGACAACCGCATCAGCCTCGTTCTCGCGTTAGCTGCTGGAACAACCAAACAACAATAACAACGGTTCATTGAGACAAATCATCAAACAGGTGGCGGACATGCTCACACAACACTGTCCACATCATTATCATCCAAATCTACGCTCATTTCTCAAACCCATGATAATTTCAAGCCTGACCTAATTCGCCATTTCAATCAAAGTTTCCAATTAATTCATCAGGAATCGAAGAAACACGAATGACGGGGGGTAAAAAAATTTTGGAGCGAGTCGTCTCGGCCTCGGCGTAGAGTCGGTCGAGTTGGGTCCTCAGCGTCTCGAGGTCGATCCGCTGAATGCTGAAACTGGCATCGTTGACAGATATATTTGGGAGGGCAAGGGAGATGGGGATGAGGTCGGAGAGGAGGAGGGAGAGAGAGAGGTGGAGGTCTTTGGGATACGAAGGAGAAGCGGCGGAGGCGGAGGAAGGGGAGGAGGGAGAGGAGGGGGAGGTCACGAGTGCGATGAGGAAGAGGGAGAGGTAGTGGGTGTGGGGTCCATGAGGGAAGAGGGAGGGTAGCGAATTAGGTGAGATCACGAGTGCGCGTGGGAATTTGGGGGCGTGGGGTCAGGAGTTGTCGTGTAAAAGCATCAAATGCACGGGACTAGCAGTCCCGTGCATTTGATTTGCTCTACACAATTGCAAAACCGACATTTTAGGGTCGGTTTTGCAGATTATTTTGAGGAGTGGTTGGTTTTGCTATATAAAAGTGAAAAAGGGTTTTTTTTAAAAATTTGTCCAGGAAAGAATTCCATTACGGAGGTCCTTTTTTTTTAGTCCTTGCATATGTTGTTTTATTGTTGTTGTTATTATTATTGTTGAGTATTGCCATGGTTAGTATTTGTTTGAGGCTTAGTCTTTCTGCTGTAAAAAGTTATTTGAGTTTATTGTAAATGGGCTTGAAAGAAATGCCAGCGGCACTCAAGTATTTTCCAAGCGATCGGTGAAAGGGGGCTCTGCATCTATCTGTGAACAATTGCACATTGTATATAAATATTTGAGTGCAGATCAAGCCTCTCCAAAAGGGGTGATCCTAATAGGATCCCCACTGCTTGTACATGTAATCAATCCCATTACATGATCAAAATCAAATCAATTCATGGTACCACCAAAACCTAAATTTATACTTTTTTAAGCAAAGGGCTAAATTTATTTTCATACTTTGTTGACTTTGGTAAAAAGGTCTTAGGTTTATTCATAGCAGCAAGAGAAAAGTCCAAAGACGGATCAACTCTAGCAAAATCATGAGCTTGACATGCTCATGCTAGAGTCCATGCTTCCAACTTCAGCTATGGATGTTATTTGACAGCAAGGATGTTATTTCCAATTGTAACATCAGCTATGATTGATTTAATCACAGAAAAATTATCGACGGATCACCACTGTGAATAGCTATTAGCAGCTCAATCCATAGCTGAATTCAGCTCCAGATACATGACTTTATTATGAGTCTCAATCACGGAGTTTCAAATTTTGGATATTTCTCTAATCACCGCCAACAAGGTCAGCTGTCTCAGAAAGAGAAAGGGAAGACATCTTCTTGTCCATGATATCGACTACAGACATTTTCTGACATTCACTCGGCGATTGTTGAACTGAGCAATTGGTCTCATTTGCAGGACTCAAATTCTCCTTCTGAGTTAATTGTGTGTGCTTTTCCTCGTTATCAAATTGACATGGTGCTGCTGTTCCGTTGTGAACTACACCGGAATCTGAGGTTTCTACTGGCCGCACTTGCAACTGAGCAGCCGCATTCACAGCTCCTTTACAAGCCACACTGATACAGCTTTCACTGGTCACCGGAGATGAATCTTTGTGTACCTGAGCAGGTTTAGATTGTTGATGAATTGATCGAGGCGATGCTGGGCTCATCATTTGAGAAGATAATGGCGTTGATTGAGCCTGTGATGAATGAAAATTCATGGACACAAGTTGCACTGGAGGTTTTATTGAAGGAATCTTACTGGACTTGAGTTTGTTTGCCCCAACAGTGTTACTGGATCCACTATTTCCCTTCAGCAAACTGTTTCTTAGGCCAACCTGAGAAATCTTGTTGGAATTGTTGGGCAAAGTTTTCTCCTGAAAAGTATAGAAAAATCTTCTTTATAACAAATAAGGACAAGACATCCATAAAGTTGTTCAGAGTAAATTAAACATAACTGACCGCATCAAAATACCCAATTTTGGGACTCGGCATCCGGAGTCCTGATGGCTTTGACCCTTTTGCTCCTCCTGCATTGTTATTCATGGATCTTCTAACATGAGAAATCTCCTTTTGGATGCATGGCTGATGAGCCACAACTCTGTCCACTTTAGTATCAATAGGATCCCTTAAAGAAGGAGATGATGAAGATGAACTGCCAAGGCTCTCCACTGAATTACTGGGCTTAATGGAAGTGGAGGTAGATGAAGACACCTCAGAGACAACACTGTCTATGGAACTACTAGGAGATGCCCTTGACGAGAACTTGAAAATAGAATTTGCACGCATTGGGGGTTGATTTATGTTTGAGGGCACAAGCTTTCTCTTTGATGCCCTCACAGGGGTGTTGCTGGCTGATGTAGATAAAGACTGGCCGCTATTTCTCACAGCTCTTTGTTTCCTTGTTGCCTCCACCGGAGATTTCCTAGTTGCCTCCGCTGGAGACTTACCAGCTAAATTAGATGAGCTGCTAACTTGACTATTTCTCGATAGGCTCAAAGCTGTTGAGGACACAGGGTTAGGTTTCTTATTTCTTGAATCTCCACTAATCTTACTAGAAGAAATTATACCCTGCCGATTAGGACCGCTGCCTGGAGTCAAAACAGAGGGCTAAAGAGTTAGCATTTAAATGCATGAACCAGGACAAGTTATTCATAGAACAATCTGATAGTAATGTGATCATATTGGAAATTCATACCAGATGAAGTCCTCCAGGTGTTGTTCTTTGGCTGTATTCTCCCAGAAGAGTCCTTATTGCTTTGTATGGTAGGCGAAGAAGTGGGTTTAGGCACAACTCGAGGTGGTTTGGATGATAATTTTGAGTCTCTAGTTGCTTTTCCAGCCTAGACTCAATTATTAAAAACGATCAGTCTAACAACTAATAGATACAAATAGGGAGGGAGCAGACATTGATGCATTCTAGAACTTTGTCATGTGTAATACATGCAAGCATTAAACAACAGATATCCTATTCTAAGAAGCATGACACCCATTAAAAGGGTCAACTAAATGCAATGGGATAATGAGAATGTGACTTCTTATCTAAACCAACTAGATTGCTACCTAATGCTAAAGTACAAGGAAGAATATCCAATTGAATGAACTGCACCTCAATGAATATTTTTTTCCCCTTAATGAGAACAGTGTGAACTATGTAGCACAACAACGAAAAACCGTTGGTAAATTTCAGAAAATTACCATAAATTTTGACGTGTTTTTGCTGAAAACTATTCTTATGTGAAAAATATTATAAGCTTCAAAATAAGTAAAGTGATAATCAACCCCCTAGAGGTCTAAATTGCATACACAAAAAGACTAAATAGTTACTTACAATTAAAAAATGAAGATACGTTTCCAAAAACTAGCATGAGCTTTCAAGGGTTTTACTGCAAGTATCCTAAACTATTTCTATTTGATAAACATAGTTCATAAGGTAAGAGGTACACTTGATACTGAATACAGATTTAGAGAAGTGTTAGGTCTGGTTGTGAAACATGATACTATTTGCATTACTTGGAACTTTTTCCTCAGTTTAATCTAAAAACAACTTTTTGCTAGATGAACTACAGAAATTTAATCAAATACTCTAAACAACTTACGCATCAACCATGCCAAGCTTAATATTGTCGACTTACCTCTTTAACATCAATGACAAATTTCTTAGAAGTATGTCCAGGTTGTTGCTTGTTCATCCTCAAAGCAGCAGGAGGTTTCATCTGAATTTACAACAGAATAAGTGAAACATACACCTCTTAAGAAAGAAAAAAGTGCAACGTATTAATGTGAAGAGGATACCTTAGTTTGAGAAGGAAGTTCTATCTTCTTCCTTGCTGCAAAGAAAAACAAAATATACAGGGCTTGAGTAAATATAAACCCAATAGGTATAGAAGGAAATCTAGAGACACATGAGAACCTATATCAAACATCCACAGCTAGGAAATGATAGCTAATATCTGTACTTTAACGAACCCTTCAAAGAGTGAAAGAAATTGGTACAATTACCGCTCTGGTGAGATGCATCAGGCTTCCCATTTAACTCACTTTTACTACGTGACAGTTGGATGGAAGCTCGTATGTTTCCAAACAAGTCCCCTTCAATGTTTTCCAATTTGTAACTTTCACTATCTAATGTGGAAGTTGACTCTGCTGATGTTCGCAATTCTTCGGCAATTCCAGGTAATGAGCACAATTCAGTCTTCCTGAATGTGCTATTCACAATAGCTAATTCTTCAGTATTTAGGACACCTGCACTAAGCATTAAGAGAGAAATGAGTGAACCATATAAGCAATTATTTCACAGGTAAACAAAAATTACACGTAAAGGGCGTACCTTCACTGGTAAAAAATGCACTATCCCAGGCTAAACTTTTCCGTAGATTGACGTTTCCAGACTTTGCCCGCTTTTGTTCTGGTGATTCTGATATTTCAGGGATATTTTCCCATTGCTTGTTAACTTTCATCAGATTGCCCCCTTCATGAGCATCATCCAGAACAAAGTGATCATGTCCATCATGATTTTGTACAAAGCCTAATAGGGGATAAACAGTTTAGTCAGTGCTAACAAGCAATTCTATCATGGTTCTACTAAGAATAGCAAGTGCCATACATCAGGGGGGGAAAAAGCATGGTGTAGTTTAGCGATGGCCCTATTACTTAAAAGTCTTAAACAAAGGGCCCAAAGGTAAAACCATCTGAGACTGGTCCCTAATTCTAATGTATTTTAAAATAAATCTCCCAGAACACGCAATTTTAAATAAGTCCTCCAAATCTCATAAGTTGTTCAAATAGGTCTCTCAGCTTAGAAACCTCTTATCTCTAATTACTAATAAACTTGACACCATTAAAGTTTCTCATTATATCATCATCTTCTTTAATTTCAGCAATTCATCTCAGAGACTCTATCTTTGATGTTTCTCATTTGGTATTTGTTACATCTTGTACTTGCAATGATTTATAGTTTCAAAGGCATCGAGTTCATACACCGAAAAAATAATAAGCTCAGAAAGTTATTTGAGCAATTATGATATTTAATTGGGACAAATTTTCAAAACCAACCTATTTGGACTTTTATTCCCAAAAAAAGACCCGTTTCACATTTATTTAGAGAAACCGACCTGGTTTCAGCCTCAGCGCTGAAACCAGGTCGGTTTTTGAAAAAAACTCTCCGAAACTTCACGGGAGTTGAACTCCCGTGAAGTTTTTTGAACTACGAAACTTCACGGGAGTTCAACTCCCGTGAAGTTTGAGAATATAGCAATAAGTTCATAGAACTTTCAAGAGCTTACCCTCGAGGACATTAGTAAACATCAATTTTAAATTCCACAAACTAAATACATATAATCACCAGCATTATCTGATCCATATTAAATCAATCCAATGTACAAACAAGAGGCTTAACTTAATTATTTAACTTTCCCCTTTAAAAAAATTGGAATCTTTCAACCAACAGACCCCAAAAAGAAAACTTGCTAAAAGAAGTTAAATCAATTTAGAGAAATCCCTAAAACCCTAAATCGAACCAAGGCTTACACGAACCGAAGTTAAAAAAAAAGAAAAAGAAAAAGAAAAAGAAAACCTAAATCTGACCCAGTTGCAAGATCCGTGACCAGAATAGACAAAAAAAAAAAAATTGAACCAAGAAAGATTATCACCTGACGATCTCAGATCACGTTGGCAATCGATAGAAGACGACAAGAGGACATCGTCCTCCGACGAGACATCGATCAGAGATAATTCCTCCATCAGCTTCTCCCTTTCTCCCAAAATCCTTTGCGATCCCAAGCCCTAGAATTGAGATTTTTGAAATTTTCTGATAATTTTTTGAGATCGAAATAGGAAAGAGGGGAAATATTGGAAGAAGGAGATGAAGAAAAAGATTTATTTACTATATTTCACATTAATTACCACTAGCGCATTATAAAAATGGGAAAATTACAAAATCGGTATAAACGTACTCCGTTTATTTGATATTTGTACCCATTTCTGTCTTTTTTATGTAGCCAACGTTTGGGGTGCGTCTATGTATTAAAAGGAGTGTGTATAGCGGTCTATTGGAGGTTGTAAACGGACGGAAATTGGGAAGCGGGAACATTGGAATTTGAGTGGTGTGGAATGTGTAATTACCAAAATGTAACCCCTGGTATTTGCAAGGTATTTATGTGCAAGGCCTCTTTTTAGGCCCAATAAAGCCCGAATAGAAATAGCACTGGCTCTTCAAATTACCGACTTGGTTCGATTTGTAGGCCCAGATACAGGGCAACATCCAATAGAGGGTCCTCTAGGAGAAATCGGGTTAATTTCACAAACCCCCCTCCCCCACCCCCCACCCCCGAAATTTGGGGGTGTTGTACATACCCTCCTAAATATTGTTCATCTCACATAAACCTCCTGATCTTTGATATGCCTTAAGAATATTTTAATTATTTGTGAATTACATGCAAGGGAGTAAGGTGAGATAAAAAAGTCCTGGTGCGTTTTATGAGACACGTCAAAGTTCAGAAGGGTTATGTGAGATGAACAAAGTTCCGGATGATTATGTGCATGATCGCCCATAGTTTAGGGGTTTATGTGAAATTAACCTAGAAAAAAAATCATATCACGAGGAAGGAGATTGCTAAGTGCATGAACATATTTTAAAGTTGATAATTATACTGAAGTACATAGCAGTCTAGTTGTAGTAGTCATAAAATATTAGTGATTGCACAAATATAATAGTTTAATTGTGTTGAGATTGTATAGTGGTTGCACTAATTTAGAATAGATTGTGAGACAGGTATCACGGTCTTCGTGCTCCTTTGTCAAGAACTAACTCTCGATTTTCTAGAGTACTAACCTATAATTGTGAAGAGACGATGATTTAATGCATTTATTCAATTATTGAAGTAACATTCTTGAGTAATTCAAGCTTTAGGGCTTGTTTGGATTGGGGGTAAAGAGCGGTAAGGGAAGTTAGGGGACTCATTATCATTATTTGGGAATTAACTTTTGCTAGGTAATGAGGGAGAATGGAAGGTAAAGAAGAGGAGAAATCAAGCACTTACTCATTATAAATCAATCAATACTATTTATGGATGACAGAATAAAACGACTTTTTTTTTACTTAAAAGAAGGATTCCTTGACCATAACTCTCCCCTAATATTGAACTTTCATTCGATTATTAATTACTACTTATCCAATGACATATTTCTCGAGCATGGACTCATGCATGACCAATTAAGCTAGAACATCTTGAGGATGTTGCGAACCAAATATGATCGGTTGTATATGATACTACTCACTTACTAATTATAGAAAAAAATTTCAAAAAAATCACCTTTAAATAGGGTGTAAATATGAAAACCATCTTTACTATGATATTCTGATAGCAATCAACCACCACGAGATATTTTTTTTTATGAAATATCAATTGAAATTCCCAAAATATTCTTTAAAATACACAAGCTAGACACATGACATATCTTCTTACCAAACTTTACCTTTTTTGGTGTATTTTAGGAATTTCCATCAAAATTTAACCAGAAAGTATGTCAAGGTGATTTTTGTAATTTCATCTGATGGCAATTAGACAGTCAAAAACATCTATAAAAAACTGGAGAGAAGATGACACTTGAGAAATAATCAAGTGAGAACTTACACTGGTGATTTTAATGAGGGAAAATTTGCAAAATAGTCTGTTTTTGCTAATTATTTAGCAAAATAGACCGTTTTGCTAAATAATTAGTAAAATAGACCTCTTTTGAAAAAAGATATAGATTTTGAAAAACAAAAAACATACGGGATTACTAGTCCCGTATGTTTAGAACCCACTTAATCACGGATTAGTGACTCAGAAAACATACGGGACTAGTAGTCCCGTATGTTTTCTGAGTTCATCTCAATGTTTTGTGAAATTTTCTGAGTTCACTAATCCGTGATTAAAACATACGGGACTACTAGTCCCGTATGTTTTCTGAGCTGTTTTGCAAAATAGACCTCTTTTTGGTCTGTTGGCAAAAAAGATGTATATTTTGCTAATTATTTAGCAAAACGGTCTATTTTGCTAAATAATTAGCAAAAACGGACTATTTTGCAAATTTTCCCTTTTAATGAAGGCAAAACTTCAGTGTAAGTCCCTAACGTTTTAGGCATATTCAGTTGGGTCCTTAACGTTTGAAACTATCCAAAGGAGCCCCCTAACATTATTACCATCATCGAATTCAGTCCTTTTTTATTTTCCCCTTTAACTAAAGTTAAAGAAAAAGATGGTGATGCAGAAAAACACAGAAAAGAAATTGGGGTTTAAACTGAATTTACTTGTTTGTGTATTAGCTATTAGCATTGGCATCAATATTGGCTTATGGGATATAAGTCTGATTGAAACACTCCTTGATATTGTTGTTTTTGCAAATGGAGGTGGCATTATTTGTAATCTTAGTATTAGTGTGGTTGTTTCTTTGGTGATTATGTAGGGATGAGGTTGATGTAATTGATGTTAAAGTGTTGTTAAATGTTTCAATTAAAATCTATAGCAAAATGCAACAAAAATGAAGCATTTGTTCTAGCTGATGTTCATTTTCGTGTTAAATGTAAATGGATCCGAGTTCGTTTAAGCACGTGGGTCTATCAAATGAATCCCCTATTCAGATTCACGATTTTTTTTTATTCCGTTAGTCTCTCTAGGATGAGACTTCCTGTTACTCAGTATCAAATGGATCATCCTGAAAATCCTGTAGCTCCTTCCGTAGGTGAAACTTCTCACGTTGGTGAGTCTTGTTCCCGTCCTTCTAGCTCTAGGGCTCGTACTCATCCTCCACATGCTTCATCTTCCACCCCTTCTAGTATTTCGGCCAATATAGATTATTTAGTTGATCTGGTTGAGAGTATAGAGGACAGAGTGTTCGATCGCCTTGAGCGCATTGAGGGTAGGCTAGAAAAGATTCTAAGGGTGCAACAACAAATGATGAACATGTTCATGCACCAGTTTCCAGGGCATAGACATCCTTCTTCGGATCCTAGGCCATCTAGTTCTTGAAGACCAATTTTCTTATTTGGACTTGTATTTTAAATTAAGAACTATATATTTGAACTATGTGCTTGCATTTTTTTTTTTTTTGCTTGTTTGGTTTGGTTGAGTATGTATTTCTTTTGGTATGAACAATGTAATCATTGTGAACACTTTTATGATGTGATATATTTGTTTGAGCTTATGGATTATCCTAACTATGCTTTATAATGTATCTTTTTTTTGTGGTTAGTTGTTTGTGTTTTGATCACATGATTATCATGCATATATTTTTTGTGATAAAAATATGTGTATGAATTGCCTTAGTCGTCATTGAATATATGTTATATAACTTTTTGATAGGGGAGCCTTCCCTATCTCTTTTCTTGTTTATACTCACTTGTGCTTATATGTGTGGGTAGCTTATTGCTCTCTTTCTTCCTTTTTGTTTTCCCCATTTTAATGTTGACAAAGTGGGAGAAACAAGTGTACTGTGAGTATATCATTTTCTATCATGCATGAGGATTACAAATTGTATATTCATTGGTATCATGCATGTTTTTTATACTCTTTGTGTAGATTGTTTGTCATCATAAAAAAGTGGGAGATTGTTAGTTCTCATGTTTATGAGCCTACCATTTAATCTAGTTTTGAATGATTAACAAACAATTTCTAACATCGTTTATTGAGTGTTTGCATTTGATTGTTAGGTATCCTACACAAAGATCATCAATTGGAGGTTGGTTGGAATTGAGCTTAATGATGACATTCAAAGGAGGTTGGAATGAAATCGGAATAAATCCATCGCAATTCAAGTCAAGATTCATCATCGCTTCATCCACAACCAAGATGAGCTAAAATTGAAGATCTATTGTCTGGGTATAATGTTTTTAGGTTTATACTTTGTGCGTTTATACTTAGAGCTCAAAATTCATACACACACACACACGCACACACACACACACATTTTCTTTTAATTTATCACCGTTTTGGATTATAGACTTAACGACACTATTTCATATCTTTTCTAAGTCTATTAATCTATTCAAAAGGATTCCAAAACTAGTTTGAATTTTTTTTGTCAAAATCAAGTGTTTAAACAAACTCAGATTCTTGAGATTTTACAAAATGATGAGTTTTCACAAACGGAAAATGATATTTGAAAATTTTCTTTTCTATCATGTGTGGTTTCATCAGAATAAACATTTTTCCAAATTTTATAATTTTTGGAATTTATTTACTATTTTTAAACACACTTTGAAAATCAAGTTTACTGTTCAAATCTGAGTTGTGCACGTTTTTCGGTCGATCGACTGTTCAAACTAGTCAACCGATAAACTGCTCTACATTTTCAATCTTGTTTCTGCTTAGTGGACCGATATTTATTAGTTGACCGAACAATGTTATTAATCGACCGATTATTTGAATCAGTCGACCGATTGTTTCATAACTGTAGCAAACGGTCATCTTATCAGTCGACCGATTCACTCATCAGTCGACCGATTCACTCATCAGTCGATCGATTTGACTGTAACAACTAGTTTTCTATTTGCTTCATTTGAGAGGTTATAAATACCCCTCAATGCTTATTTTTTGAGCCAAGTTTTGTAAGGGTTTCATCAGTTTGTTTAAGCTATTTTTGGCTCCATATTTTTTTTAAAGAGATGTAGTGTTTGTTTGTTTGCAAAAAGAGTTTACAAGAGGAGGAGATCGATTTTGGTTTTGAGCATTCATCTTCAAATCTCTATCTCTCTTGTTTGAAGAAGTTTCCTAAAGTCAATTTCTAGCTAATCTACATTTTGATCATCATAGATATAAGCTAGATTTATTTGAGTTCAATTTTATTTTACTCATTGTCTACACACACAACCAATTAAGCTTTAGTATTCCATATATTATATATTTT